TTACCTTTGCTCTCCAAAACATTTTGAAATGTCGGCAGGACTGCCCCTTTGACATGTAATAACAACCTACTTTTACATTGTCAGTAGCCCGACTTTTCCTTTTTCGTTAAATTCCGCCAATATAAGGCACAATTTCCCTCAATAGATACCAGTTGCCTGAGCAATAGGAGTTTACGTTGGCGGAGTTGATTCTATTTAGATCATTTAAACAGCTATAAGTGGCTTTACTTTTATATTCTTTGATCACTAAATATGATCAAATATTCCTTTACACTCTTTAGCCACGGATTAAGTGCTTATCTGCCAATTCCGTAAGACCATTTTGCCAAAGTGTCGATATTACTCGTGTCTCACACGCTGTCCCTGCCCCCCTTTTAGTTTGGTGAATGCGGCAATCTGGCCTGCCACATTGCTCTGCGAAACCTTCGCCCTCCAGGCAGCACCGTCCGACGCATCCCCCAGCCCGTGGCCTGGTCGCCCTTCACCTACCTCTTCAGCCTTGTCGCCTGCCCCAACTACACCTACGAGGTGGTTTCTTGGATCGGCTTCACCATCATGACACAGACATTTGCAGGTACTGCCCTCTGTCTCTCTCTCACTTGCCTGCCATTCTCTCTCTCCTGTGCGTGTTTGACCGCCTATTTGTCTGTGTGTTGTGCGCTTGGCCATGACGGGCCTCTGTAATGACCACTTTTTTATTGGTACTCGCCTGGGCTTGTCTCAAGAAGGTGACTTTTACAAGAAGGTGACGGTATTGAGCTTGCACCCGGGCGCCGGTTGACTGACCTTGACTATACCGATGATATCGCCTTACTAGCATCAAGCTTTGGCGATCCCAGTCTATGGTGTCACGGGTGAACGAAGTCGCGAAAACGGTTGGCCTGTCCATAAACGCTCGGAAACCTGAAATGTTTTCATGCTGCATCCCTACCCAAGAGAAGGCATCTCTCGAGATTAGTGGCTGTCAACCAGAAGAAGTCGACAGTTTCAAATACCTGGGAGCGAGATTGCTGCCGAATGGACAGAGTAAGGATGACACTGTCTCCCGAATTGGTGCAGCGCGACGAGTGTTCTCCAGCTTTCGGAAGTGCTTATGGACCCGACGCGATATCTCTATCTCAACAAAGATCCGCGTGTACCACGCATCTGTGCGGTCCATTCTCCTATACCTCTGCGAATGTTGGGCTATGCGCGTGGAAGATGAGCAGAAACTGGAAGTCTTCGACCACTACTGTCTGCGGAGCATCCTTCGAGTGA